AGGTTACACAGAACTGCATCGGTACACTGTATAGGTTACACAGAATCACGGGCTACACTAGGTTATACAGAACTGCACCGGTACACTATAGGTTACACAGAATCACGGGCTACACCGGGTTACACAAAACTGCATCGGTACATGCACTGTATAGGTTATACAGAACTGCATCGGTACACTATAGGTTACACAGAATCACGGGCTACACCGGGTTACACGAGCAGTTTAGTTTACTTGAAATTGTAAGTGTCAAATCAACATGAAGAAAAAAACTTATACGTATAGGGTAGGACATCTCAACTGCTTCAATGTTATGACTTGAGATGACGGGCCCATGGGCAAATCTTGGTAGAAGGTCATCTCTTCATTACCAGCAATTGTATATTAGGTTATATGGTTGTGGTCTGAACTGGTTCTATATCATGACCCAAAAAGGTAAACCCTTAAGGTTGGGACTGGATCCCCGACCCAATCCTGGTAGCATGAATTAATGTCTCTTCAAGCCTAGAAATAACATATGGTTATTGGGAGGGGGATGTAAAATAAGTTCATATATTTTGAGCAAGGGAGTAGGTCAGTCTTTTTTTTTTGCTGCAAACTTTGCTGAGCTAACTCAATCCCAGGAATCTTTCAGCCAATTATACTCTAGGTATTTCAGTTCTTTAGAAGATGTTCAAATTTTCAACATATTTGACTTCAGTGACCTTGTAAGTTGGTGAAGGTCTGTTAATTCACAAACTTTGTAAGGCTCAAACCTTGGAAGCTACTAGTCAAATAGCATGATTCTAAGCCTTTCAGTTCTTCAGAAAAATAAAGTTTAAATGTTGTCATAACATTTGACACATATGCCCTTCAATATGGGTGATGGTGATTCATTTCAACAAAGTTGAATCGGTGGCCCTTAAACCCAGCATGCTACTGGCCAGATGTCATCACAGTAGGCCTCAACATGTTTTAACATATTTGACCACAAATACCAATCAAGGTTATACTAGCAGCTTTCTTGCAAAATACCATCATCCTGGACCTTTTGGTTATTCAGAAGGAGTTGTTTAAAGGATTCTTATAAGTTTGGTTTGTTTGTTTGTGTTTTACATCCTATTAACAGCTATGGTCATTTGAGGACATGCCAGGTTTTGTTTGATTTTTTCATACTCTTGACCAAGGCAGTGACCTTGAATACGAGTGAAGGTCATTTATCCCAGCATGCTACTGCCAGATAAATGGCCTAGGTATCTTGATTAAGAAGTCGTCTATAGTAAAAAGTTGATGCTGGTTGGAGGGATGGACAAGGAGAGCCTTCAGGCCAGTTGACCTAAAAACACTTAGGAAGACCTTACCGGTGACTATAAGCCATACAAACATGTGAAAATATCATGCATGAAAGGACCCAGGGCATACAGGTATATGGTTACCGACTAAAATCTCCATGGGTGGGGCGGGATCCCTTAGCCAGTCACGATAGCATGATCTGTTAGCCTAACCAGCCTAAATATACATTGTAGGTAGGTTTGGGTAGAGCTTTCCAAGAGATGGGTTATATTACATAGGCTTTTGGAGATGGTATTGTCTTATTTTTTCCCCGTCCCTCCTGAGGCATCCATAGCTTTGTCTAACTGATGTCAAAGCTAAAGGTGAAAATCCATCAAGCCCTTTCGTAAATGCAGTCTTTTTATTTTTATTGTAAAAAGTTGACTGATGGATTGACAAACACCCAAAGGGCAAAAAATCAGAATAAAATACTACTATCTTTCTTTTTTTTTATTTTTCACTCATTGCTGAAAAACAACATACTTAAATACAAAACCCTTGTTACAATATACAGTATATACCACAAGAAATGCCATTTAAAATGATTTTAGCAACAGTAGTCGACAGGTATAAATTATTTCCCTTGACATTTTTACTTACTCTTGCTCACATCAACATTTAATTGTGAAATACAATCACATCATACTACTAACTAAATGTAACAGTCTGACATTCACCTTTCATACTGTAGAAATATACACTAAAGATCATTAAATGTGGTAGTTTTTTCAATGAAACATTTGTGTAACAAATATGAATCTCCTAATTATAAATTTACTTTAGTTGTTGCTTACAACTATCACTGCTTTATTACCTAAATTTTCCAACAGTCTGTTCCTTTGTGAATAAGGAAAATATAAGATTATCTGTATAAAAATTTGGAATATATTCCTCAGTTTTTGGTTATTTTGGGAAAATAAGGCACTTTTTAGAAAACCGATTGTTTTCGGCGGTAAAACTAAGGGAAAAAAAATCATGTTTCAATTAATAAACATCCATCTCTACAAGGAAAAGAATGTTCTAGGAGTATCACTTTCCATTGGTCTCCTATGGTTGGTGATGCAGTTATACTTCAAGTTCTACTTAACAGTTTAAAAAGTGTTGGCAAACTGTATAGAGATTACGTAGCGATACCATAGGTACATTTCTTAGTTGGAAATGCTTTTCACAGCAGGCATCTCAGATAATGACTTGTTATGCTGTTAATATCAGAATTTGTTGTGTATAGCTGCTGTAAAATTTCGTGAAACTTGCTTAAGTAGAATTTATTTAAATTCCAAGTTTGACTTTTAATGAATTTTATGTGTATTTGAATGTGATTTGTCCGATGATTTTAAAGCAATAATTAAAATTCTTCTTTTTGAATTCATATTTTAATGAAATACCGTGTTTGGACTACAGAAATGACCGATCATATTGTTTTTCACAAAATCTAAGATGGGGAAATGGCAGCCATGTTGATTTTTAGAAATCATGTCCACTCACACATGCCCTAGAACATCTGCCGTACTATACCCCGACACCAAACATCACACATACGTGTTCTTGTACATCTCCTGTCCTAAACCCAGACACCAGACATCACACATACATGTTCTTGTACATCTCCTGTCCTAAACCTAGACACCAGACACACTTTTAATGAATTTTATGCTTATTTGAATGTGATTTGTCCGATGATTTGAAAGCGATAATTAAATTTCTTTTTTTTAAAATTCAATACCGTGTTTGGATTACAGAAATGACCGATCATATTGTTTTTCACAAAATCTAAGATGGGAAATGGCAGCCATGTTGATTTTTAGAAATCATGTCCACTCACACATGCCCTAGAACATCTGCCGTACTATACCCCGACACCAGATATCACACATACGTGTTCTTGTACATCTCCTGTCCTAAACCCAGACACCAGACATCACAAATACATGTTCTTGTACATCTCCTGTCCTAAACCTAGACACCAGACACACTTTTAATGAATTTTATGCTTATTTGAATGTGATTTGTCCGATGATTTTAAAGCGATAATTAAATTTCTTTTTTTTTAAATTCTTATTTTAATGAAATACCGTGTTTGGACTACAGAAATGACCGATCATATTGTTTTTCACAAAATCTAAGATGGGAAATGGCAGCCATGTTGATTTTTAGAAATCATGTCCACTCACACATGCCCTAGAACATCTGCCGTACTATACCCCGACACCAGACATCACACATACGTGTTCTTGTACATCTCCTGTCCTAAACCCAGACACCAGACATCACAAATANTAAACCCAGACACCAGACATCACACATACGTGTTCTTGTACATCTCATGTCCTAAACCCAGACACCAGACATCACACATACGTGTTCTTGTACAGCTCATGTCCTAAACCCAGACACCAGACATCACACATACGTGTTCTTGAACATCTCCTGGCCTAAACCCAGACACCAGACATCACATATACGTGTTCTTGTACATCTCATGTCCTAAACCCAGACACCAGACATCACACATATGTGTTCTTGTACATCTCCAGGCCTAAACCCAGACACCAGACATCACACATACGGGTTCTTGAACATCTCCTGGCCTAAACCCAGACACCAGACATCCCATATACGTGTTCTTGTACATCTCATGTCGTAAACCCAGACACCAGACATCACACATACATATTCTTGTACATCTCCTGCTCTGAGCAAAAATTACTAACACATGTCCATGTGCAATTTTTGTCCTAGACAGAAATCACTCTTAAGTATTCTAGTACATCTCTTGTCCAAGACAGACAACACACATACATGTCCTTCGTACATATCTTGTCCTGGACAAAAATTACTCAAAAATGTCCTGTTCATTTCCTGTCCTGGACAGACATCACGCATACCTGTCCTGATACATCTCCTGTTCTTAATCCAGACAACAGACATCACGCATACCTGTCCTGATACATTTCCTGTCCTTTACCCAGACAACAGAAATCACCCATACATGTCCTGATACATTTCCTGTCCTTTACCCAGACAACAGACATCACGCATACCTGTCCTGATACATTTCCTGTCCTTTACCCAGACAACAGACATCACGCATACATGTCCTGATACATTTCCTGTCCTTTACCCAGACAACAGAAATCAATCATACCTGTCCTGATACATTTCCTGTTCTTAATCCAGACAACAGACATCACTCATACATGTCCTGATACATTTCCTGTCCTTTACCCAGACAACAGACATCACGCATACATGTCCTGATACATTTCCTGTCCTTTACCCAGACAACAGAAATCACTCATACATGTCCTGATACATTTCCTGTTCTTAATCCAGACAACAGACATCACTCATACATGTCCTGATACATTTCCTGTCCTTTACCCAGACAACAGACATCACGCATACATGTCCTGATACATTTCCTGTCCTTTACCCAGACAACAGAAATCACTCATACATGTCCTGATACATTTCCTGTCCTTTACCCAGACAACAGACATCACGCATACATGTCCTGATACATTTCCTGTCCTTTACCCAGACAACAGAAATCACTCATACATGTCCTGATACATTTCCTGTCCTTTACCCAGACAACAGAAATCACTCATACATGTCCTGATACATTTCCTGTCCTTTACCCAGACAACAGACATCACTCATACATGTCCTGATACATTTCCTGTCCTTTACCCAGACAACAGAAAACACTCAAACATGTCTTAGTATATCTCCTGTTCTGGACAGAAATCAATTATACATGGTACATCTCCTGTCCTAGACTGACAATGACATCACTTATATGTGTCCTATCACATTTTCTGTCCTGGACAGACAACAAAAATCACTCTTACGTGTCCTGGTTCACTTTCTGTCCTTAACCTACACTCTCATCACTCATACATGTCCTGGTACATTTCCTGTCCTAGACGAATATACTCCTCCTTCTCTGCAGGAGACATCTTAGCCATTATGTCACTTGTGACCTCATGATAAGGAACAGGATGACCATTAACATTAACTGTTGGGATGGATTCCTCTTCATCACTTTCCATCTCCTCCACTGTAATAGAAAATATTTACCATACAAAATGTATTATTTCATCTCTTGCTGCTTCCTTAAACTTTTACAGAATTCACCCACTACATAAACTTTACACTGATGTGTTACATACACTAGTACTGGTCAACAAGCAAAATGCAATCTATAGCCCCCCTCCCTGTAGTCTTTGTCTACCAAGGTCAAAGGTCAAATCATAGGTCCTCATAACACATTTCTTGTACCGCATAATCCCAAGATGTACTTGCACACTGATATGTTTACTCAAGTTGTATTTGCATCAGTCAATGTGTTACAGAACCAGGTAACATATATCCTACACCAGTCAATGTATAACATTACCAGGTAACATATATCCTACCCCAGTCAATGTATTACAGTCCCAGGTAACATATATCCTACCCCAGTCAATGTATAACATTACCACATATATCATACACCAGTCAATATATTACAGTACAAGGTAACATATATCCTACATCAGTCAATGTATTACAGGACCAGGTAACATATATCCTACCCCAGTCAATGTATTACAGTCCCAGGTAACATATATCCTACCCCAGTCAATGTATAACATTACCACATATATCATACACCAGTCAATATATTACAGTACCAGGTAACATATATCGTACACCGGTCAATGTATTACAGGACCAGGTAACATATATCATACTATATCCTACACCAGTCAATGAATCACAGTACCTGGTAACATATATGATGCCCCAGTCAATGTATGACAGAACCAGGCAACATATATCCTACACCAGTCAATGAATAACATTACCAGGTAACATATATCTTGCACCAGTCAATGTATTACAGTACAAGGTAACATATATCCTACACCGGTCAATGTATTACAGTACCTGGTAACATATATGATACACCAGTCAATGTATGACAGAACCAGGTAACATATATCCTACACCAGTCAATGTATTACAGTACCAGGTAACATATATCCTACACCAGTCAATGTATTACAGTCCCAGACAACATATATCATACACCAGTCAATGTATTACAGAACCAGGTAACATATATCTTACACAAGTCAATGTATTACAGTACCTGGTAACATATATCCTACACCAGTCAATGTATTACAGTCCCACACAACATATATCATACACCAGTCAATGTAATACAGGACCAGGTAACATATATCCTACACCGATCAATGTATTACAGTACCAGGTAACATATATCCTACTCCAGTCAATGTATTACAGTCCCAGACAAAATATATCATACACCAGTCAATGTATTACAGGACCAGGTAATATATATCCTACATCAGTCAATGTATTACAGGACCAGGTAACATATATCCTACACCGGTCAATGTATTACAGTACCAGGTAACATATATCCTACATCAGTCAATGTATTACAGTACCAGGTAACATATATCCTACACCAGTCAATGTATTACAGGACCAGGAAACATATATCCTACACCGGTCAATGTATTACAGTACCTGGTAACATATATCTTCCACCAGTCAATGTATTACAGTACCAGGGAAAATATATCCTACACCAGTCAATGTATTACAGGACCAGGTAATATATATCCTACATCAGTCAATGTATTACAGTACCTGGTAACATATATCTTCCACCAGTCAATGTATTACAGTACCAGGGAAAATATATCCTACACCAGTCAATGTATTACAGTCCCAGACAACATATATCATACACCAGTCAATGTATTACAGGACCAGGAAACATATATCCTACACCGGTCAATGTATTACAGTACCTGGTAAGATATATCCTACACCAGTCAATGTATTACAGGACCAGGTAACATATATCCTACATCAGTCAATGTATTACAGGACCAGGTAAAATATATCCTACATCAGTCAATGTATTACAGGACCAGGTAATATATATCCTACATCAGTCAATGTATTACAGGACCAGGTAAAATATATCCTACATCAGTCAATGTATTACAGGACCAGGAAACATATATCATACACCAGTCAATGTAATACAGGACCAGGTAACATATATCCTACACCGATCAATGTATTACAGTACCAGGTAACATGTATCCTAAAACAGTCAATGTATAACATTACCAGGTAACATATATCTTACACCAGTCAATGTATTACAGTCCCAGGCAACATATATCCTACACCAGTCAATGTATTACAGGACCAGGTAACATATACCCTACACCGGTCAATGTATTACAGTACCAGGTAACATGTATCCTACGCCAGTCAATGTATAACATTACCAGGTAACATATATCCTACACCAGTCAATGTATTACAGTCCCAGGCAACATATATCCTACACCAGTCAATGTATAACATTACCAGGTAACATATATCCTACACCGATCAATGTATTACAGTACCAGGTAACATATATCATACACCAGTCAATGTATTACAGTACCAGGTAACATATATCTTACACCAGTCAATGTATTACAGTACCTGGTAACATATATCCTACACCAGTCAATGTATTACAGTACCAGGTAACATATATCTTACACCAGTCAATGTATTACAGTACCTGGTAACATATATCCTACACCAGTCAATGTATTACAGTACCAGGTAACATATATCTTACACCGGTAAATGTATTACAGTACCAGATAACATATATCTTACATGTATATACACCAGTCAATGTATTATAGTACAAGGCAACATAAATCCTACACCAATCACTGTAGTTTAACCTTACATATAACTTATAACGGTTAATGTGTTACAGTATATGTTCTAGCATTACCTGCTGCTGCTGCTGCCGTTGGTTTTGGTTTGTTGGTCTTCTCATCCTCCGAGTCACTACTTGAACTATCGCTGTCAGCCCCTTGGGTCCCTGAAGCCCCAGGTAAGGGCGGACCACTCCTCTTCTTCTCATGTATGATCAACAAGGTCTCTATCTCGTTGGTATTGGGGTGTTTGGGAAGGTCCAATCCAGATGGCCCAGCTACATCCATCCTGTCCGGCTGTAAAGAAACCAGGCTAGTGATAAATAACATTGAAATTAAAATGAGAACATTAATGTATTTAAAGGTCTGCTTTTCAATTTTTCTTATCATCACATTTCCTTTGGTCACCCCTAATAATTTGCCAAAAATTTACTGGAAAATAACAAATGGTGACATTATAACAAGGTTGTACTGGACAAATGGTAGTAGTAAATTAAGGTTTTCCTGGATTTAAGGTAGCAGTATAACAAGGTTTTACTGTACAGAAGTTTGCAGTATAACAAGGTTTTACTGCACAACAGAGGTTTGCAGTATAACAAGGTTTTACTGAACAACAGGTGGTAGTATAACAAGGTTTTACTGGACAAAAGGTTACAGTATAACAAGGTTTCACTGGACAAAAAGTGGGAGCATAACAAAGTTTTACTGAACAAAAGGTGGCAGTATAACAAGATTTTACTGGACAAAATGTTACAGTATAGCAAAGTTTTACTGGACAAAATTATAAGGTGGCAGTAATAAGGTTTTACTTGACAGGCACTATAATATGATTTACATTTATATCTTTCATGCATACGCATGAGTAGATTAAAACTATTGAAAGTAATAGCAATTTCACAAACATCTGTTAAATACAAAGTACTTATCTTTTGATGGAGTATTTACAGCTACTTTTAAATATTATAAATACCCAGGTATAACACTTATTCTGCAATGGAGATATAATACATCTACATAATTGACTGGAAGAAAGCTCCTTCCCTTTTAAGCCTTCATATAAGTAGGCAGTGACTGTTTTATGCAGCAGCATGTATTACATGTATTTACCAAATCAATAACATCACTGGAAGCTGTAGTTTGTACTGTGCTCTTGACCATCCATTCTGGACGGTCCTTGATTTTCTGTTTGTCTCGTTTCTGAGCCTCCTCCTCTGTATCCATGGTAATGGTAACATTACTTTCCATGTCAGTATATCCAAATCCTGTTCCTCGGGTTGCATCCCCAGACCAAATCCTTGAATCACCTTCTTTGTTACTTGATTGCTTGCTTGCATTATGGCTGAAATATGGGAAATAACAAAAAAATAAATTACAACTAAACCATACAAACTAAATTCATTATAAAAATAGCATTATAGTTCATTTAAAATTTCTGTGTTTAAAAGCATACAAACTATATACATTATAAAGTTAGTATTGTAGTTCCTGTTATATCATCCCTGTGTTGCCATTGATTTTTCTACCTCTTTTCCACAGGGGCCTGACTTTTGTAGCCATAGCATTTAAGATTTTCACACCATAGACTTATTGTCTGTGAGATAAAAAGTTAAAAACAGACTTTTTGTAGACCTGTTGAAAACCTGATAGATCAGACCTTGATCAAGAAAATTTTACTTATTGAGTTCACTGTTCAGTAACACGAATTTAGAGAAAATACAAGTAATAATAAAGAAAGACAAGTAATTTCACAGAGGACTTTTTCATTCAATATTATTTTTATTATTGAGTTATAAAACATCATAGGAAGTATGTTGAAAGACAGCTTTGTCTATGAAATAAGTTATTCCAATAGACCTACAGTATTTTTTTTACATAGTGATTGTCTATGGGGCTACCTCTAAGTTTGAACATATATATATATATATTGCCCTTAAGCTTGTAAGACAAATTTTCAGAAATCATCTATGGGAAAGGGCCTTATAAAAGCCCCAAATTCACCTATGAAAACCACTGTTTGCAATGCATTTAAACTGTATTTGTTATATAGATAACTGATAAAGGTCATTACATAATGACAGTGCACAGTACTGTCAGCTTCAACTATTGCCATCTGAACCAAGTTGCATAAGACTTAGCTGAAGCTTCATTTCCTACTAAATATTGTACAATATATGTATATTTATATAGAATATATTACTGAAGTGAAAAATCAGAAACATAAAGAAACAAGATTAATGAAATGAGGTCTTATAATAATTATTGATATTAAGGTGTGAAACATACGATATAATCAAAATCAAAGATTAGGATATGATTGATACATATATTTGTAAGAATACTTAACTTACACTCTGTAAAGCTTGTTTAATCCACTCACCTTCTGAGATGTCTGATATCTGTTGGTTCAGGTTCCAGTAGCTCTGGCGCCAGCTTAATGTCATCACATTCCTTTAACAAGTCAAAAACAGATTGAATCTGCTCATTAAACTTTGCCAACAAGGTTCTTGCATCTTTCTTTGGCATAGCACTTTCATCCTCCTCCACTTCACATTCACAGAAGGTACACCTAAAAGTCTGGCTCATAAAGTCAAATAACTGGTCAGCCTCCAAGTCTGTGTATGATTTACAACAGGACGGACATTTAAAGGATGCCCTACTTGTATTGTCTCTCTCCTCCATTTCAATTTTGCGTCGCACATGATCGAGTTTGTATTTAACTACATTCACAAATACCTGATAGCCAATGAAGTAATAGTTATGTCTTGTACTTTTACCTTCTGCATCTGTTTCAACCTTCATCCTCATCTTGACAATTTTTTCATTTTTAAGTGTGTTAAGCAGTGCTCGAAGATGTTTTCGGTCAAACCTAAGAAGTTCCGCTATATCGTCTTCCTTCATACAGGGGTTGCGTACCAGTAAGTCTATGACTATGGCATGTTCCATACTGTAGAAACCTCTGGTTACCAAGCGAGCCAAGCGCTTCAAAGTCTCTGGGACTTCTGTTAAGATGTCTGGCTCATTCATGGTTGGAATTCAGATTTGGGGTGATTCAGTCAATGAATTAGTCATGGTTTTGGCATCTGAAACAAGAAAAAATACTGTAGGATTTCATATGTACCTTTCTTTCACACTATATAGCTTTGCACAAACTATAAGCTTGTTGACATTGTGGGTTTTGGGGTATAAAAATAAAAACACTTCTTGTAACATCTGCAAGGAGCTCTCAGGAATTAAGGCAAAACAGATCAATTTACACTTTTTATTAATTATATATGATCTATGCCTGCAGAAAAATACTTTTCCTATCATTATCTTTTTCTTAGATTGGAATAAAATACACCTGGAAAAGTTAAGTTTTCAATGTGATTTTTGTATGCCACAACTTTTTGTTGTGTGCTTACCAAATGAATGTGATTGTCACCAGCTGGTTGCATTGGTCTGGCTATTCAATATGCACAATATATGGGTGACAAGAAGGAATGCGAGTATCAAGGAAGGTTTTTGCATGCCCAGAAATTTCTTATAACATTTTTTCCATTTTTTTCTTCTGATTCATACCAAACGTACCCTGACCTAACTACCTGCAAAATTTCAACCCAATCATTCCTGTGGAAAGTATAATTATATTTTCACTATAGGCAATGCAAGGGAAGCAACTCATATAGAATACTAGTAGAAAGAATGTTACCAGGCTCTGTGAAGAAGGAACGGTTTCATATCAATCATCATATATTTTTCAATTAATATTTACACCAGTTTTAGTCAAATTAAATTAGAACTTAAGTCTTTCATTTTAATTTCAAATAGTTTGATATCATCATTTATAGCCTAGTTGTCACTTTGAAGAAATTGAAAATATGTTTTTTCTCTCATAATTATAAAGTTCTTATTACATGTGAAGCAGGGTCAGGTATTACTGAACACCTATAAGGGGAAACCCTTTTAACAAAAAAAAGGGTGTATTTACGCAACAGATAAGTGTGGTAACCTATCTGACCTATTGGGTGTTATTTCTTACAATAATGGGATTGAATTGGAGGGAGATGTAACATCATTATAAGGTTTGTTCAATTACTTTACATGGAGGTACATAATGTAGTTCCTGAACCATTTGGCAATTAATGGACTCAATGAAAGGTTTAACTGAACAAGTCTTTTATTTCTAATAAAATATCCATCAAAGATCTATAAATTGAATCAAACAGATCTTAAATGAACATTTCAGATAATGTAAAGGCTGTGCCAGCTATATATGGTCATGTAGCAACTATCCCAAAGTGCAATTTAATTCATGTTTATAATTATCTTCAATTCCATAATTTGATAATCTATCATAATGTGTTCAAAACTGAGAATTATTAGTACGACCAAAATTGTTCAGACTGCAAAGGCTGGCACACCCTTGGTTTTGCAAACCTCTAGGATGATGTGTGGGGCTTGTGTAAGTCTAATCATGGTAAATGAGAGAAAGCGATCGCGATTGTGTCTATTTTTACCTAGTTTTTGTTGTAAATAGTTGTTACCAAATTCATCAACAGTGATGTGTTCAATAACTGCCTAACACCTCTAAATGTAATCAATAGTAAATAAATGTCATGATTATATAATTACTGTTAATAAGGATAACTGGCAAAATATGTTTTTTCTTGATTTGTTATTGTATAGTATATGTACACATAGTAATAGTCATAAGTTGTGACCTTTCCGTTTATATGGATGCTTAATGGCCAAGCTCTCATTTTCTGTATATATGATGCAAATAACCAAAAAATAGCCAGGAAACCCTGAAGTCAGCACACGCTGAACAAGAACTTTGTGCAGGCTGCAGAGGGTATTGTTTTCACCAACATTGCAAACAGACAATATTTTCAGGGCTCAGGAATCCTGATATATTGACTGTAGACATGCACATAAAACACCAACAACATAAGAATAACTGCCTCCGGTTCAGCAATACCTGTCCAACTTTAAATGATTTATGATTTTCTTATACATGTTAAACTTTATTTTAACTTCTAAAATATAAAGTTGTATTGGTCACAGTTGTATGTCATATCATTCTCTATTTGAATCATGACAACAATTTACTTATTACTACAAGTTCTATTTTGAACATTGAAGGATAAAAATATGTTTCAAAATCTTGCGTTTTATTTAATATATATGTATTTCGAGCTAATTTTAAAATTGATCATATAAGTCTATACACGCCCCTGTGCTCCATGTATGCTACAATGAGAGTATAACTATTATCACGGACTTAGATAGCAATCTAATTCCTACTCCAACAGTGTTAGAGGTTTACACGGCGAGATACTCTTGACAGGCGCCGTGTCGCAGTCGGCAAAATGATATCCGATAGAAAGAAGGCCGACCAACGGCCTCTTATGTTATAGGAGTATCTAATTCCGTGATATATTAATCTGTATTGTAACTTCTCTGATAACGTTAGAGTTCCCAAAGGAATTTACATTAGGCCTATATATACGCGTTTGTGGTCGTCATGATCGATGCTATGCTGATGAAAATAAGGAAATAAATATCACCATCTTTAAATAAAACGATAAACAGATACTTTATATTTTACCATCGTTTATCATTCTCCTCACTGTGTTTTCCTTCTCCCATTCATGATGCCGCGCTGATGCTTAACCGGATGTTGCAAATGACATACTAAACATACTCTTAGACACGGAAATAGATTCCGGAAATAACCCGTTGGACGGGTATTTGATATTGGATTTGCAAAACTTTCAAGGCATATTTTAACATTTGCAGTTCCGTTAGGCTTTATCCTTTTAATTTTATGTATTAATTGAAAAGCATACAGTACGTAGAGAGACCGGGTTTAGGTCCAAATATAGCTGTAACAAATGCTCAAGTCCCTGTGAGTCCAACCACAGTTGGTGTTGAGCAAACACACTCAAAAAAATCATGGTATCACATCTTCCTATTGCAAGTGTTTACAAATAAGTGTGACATTTCGACGACTAGTACGATACGTATCATATGTACCATCAGTATGAAACAGCAAATATTAATGGCCAATGAAGCGTATCATATGTACACGGTACAACGGTGTAAAAAAAATGTACAAGTTCTGCACTATAAAATCTAAGGCTGTAGTGAAGGGCACTGCAAGTTCAAAGAGAATAAATGCGTACGATCGAAGTCGACTCATAAGTCAATCATTCTCGATATCATCAGCAGGCCAGTATATTTTCAAAAACAAACAACTTCTGGGCGCGGTTGTTCAAAATTATCGTTAAAAATTTAACGACTCGCTAACCATGGTTTAACGACATCGTTAGCTTAACGATAGTTTTGAACAACTGGGCCATGGAGTTGAATTATATTTAACTATTTTACGATTTTGAAGAGCTCTTGAGCTTCTTCAATTTTTCATTCAGATAAGTATTGTTTTTAAATAACAGGAAATATATATGTTGACCAGGTCGATCATACGTATGTACACTCCTGAAATAAGATCCAGAACACTGCTTGTCTAGGTCTTTACTGAAAAAATGAACAACATGGGACGCCTTACTGCTCAGTACCGATAAGCATGACCATTATTATTTCCTTATTGTGAAGTTTCCCTTTCTTGACAGTAACGTCATTACATTTCTCCAACTTCGGTTATTACATATCACAGTTGATTGGTTATTCAGGGTTTCCATCAAATATCACGATTTTCATGGTGGAAGTCGACTACACACGTTTCGAGGGATGCAGATTGATGAAGTTTAAGTTTTATGATACCCGTCATGATTTTCGTTATTATTTTCATTAATTTGACTGGTCTTATTCTCCTTCTACTTTTTCAAGGGTATCCCTGTTCATCTTTCCCTCGCTCATATGTTGCCCTAGTTTCATTTATTTTTGAGTCCGAATTACACTTTGTTTTGTTCACACTTTGGTATTACCATGTTTTACCCTCTATTCTTTGATTAGTGTCCTTAAAATTAATATTGGCAAATTATGTTATTATCAAAGAAAATTTGAAAGAAATGTAAATATGTCAAGTGTCGAATTGGTATTGATGCATTCTGAATTAGAATTAAATATTTGGCTATTAATATACATTATTTGAAATAAGATGCGTGTAATTAAGAGGATGTTTCGATGCAGGATCATATCATACCAGACTCGAAATAAATATAATAACAAAATTTTATAGCTTGATGAATTCTTGAACAATAGTTCCTAGTTACTCCACAGATACGCTCACTTTCGCTCTCTGCACCCCCTGGGATATGTCATGGCAAAATTGAAGGCACGAAGATAGGTTTTTGATTGGTCTCAGGTAAAAAAAAAAGAGACCAATCTCTAGGCTTATACCTGTCATTTGAAGATAACAAAGGAGCGACGCCCGACTTCAAAGCCAGTAAGTTTTACCGTTACGAGACCGCTAGATTATTTTGATGTTCATCAAAGGACCCAACTCGTCTTCTCGTCTCATTCACAACGTTCGATTTTGCTATGACACATTCCAGGGGTGCAGAGAGCGTAAAAGAGCGTAACTCCTGGATATCGAGGGTGCAGATTGTGTAGTCTGTCAATGAACGTGTCTGGAGATGGTGCCGATACTATCGTCAAGGAAACAAATACTCGAAATATGAAGTAAGGAAGCACACATTAAAATTTAGTTTGTGACTTCCACTGTGAGTCAACATAAAACCCTTCAGTGAAGACGTATCTGAACTCCAGCTACGGCCAACCTCGGGTATGCTATTGATACCACCTACGGTCAACCTCAGATACTATTCGATCATACCACCTACGGCCAACCTCGGGTACTATTCGATCATACCACCTACGGCCAACCTCGGGTACTATTCGATCATACCACCTACGGCCAACCTCGGGTACTATTGATACCACCTACGGTCAACCTCAGATACTATTCGATCATACCACCTACGGCCAACCTCGGGTACTATTCGATCATACCACCTACGGCCAACTTCGGGTACTATTGATACCACCTACGGTCAACCTCAGATACTATTCGATCATACCACCTACGGCCAACCTCGGGTACTATTCGATCATACCACCTACGGCCAACTTCGGGTACTATTGATACCACCTACGGTCAACCTCAGATACTATTCGATCATACCACCTACGGCCAACCTCGGGTACTATTCGATCATACCACCTACGGTCAACCCCGGGTACTATTAATACCACCTACGGCCAACCTCGGGTACTATTCATACCATCTACGGCCAACCTCGGGTACTATTCGATCATACTACCTACGGCCAACCTCGGGTATGCTATTGATACCACCTACGGTCAACCTCAGATACTATTCGATCATACCACCTACGGCCAACCTCGGGTACTATTCATACCACCTACGGCCAACCTCGGGTCCTATTCGATCATACCACCTACGGCCAACCTCGGGGACCATTCGATCATACCACCTACGGTCAACCCCGGGTACTATTAATACCACATACGGCCAACCTCGGGTACTATTCATACCATCTACGGCCTACCTCGGGTACTATTCGATCATACCACCTAAGGCCAACCTCGGGTACCATTCGATCATACCACCTACGGCCAACCTCGGGTTCTATTCGATCATACCACCTACGGCCAACCTCGGGGACTATTCGATCATACCACCTACGGCCACCCTCGGGTACTATTCGATCATACCACCTACGGCCAACCTCGGGTACCATTCGATCATACCACCTACGGTCAACCACGGGTACTATTGATACCACCTACGGCCAACCTCGGGTACTATTAATACCACCTACGGCCAACCTCGGGGATACTATTCATACTACCTACGGCCAACCTCGGGTATACTATTCATACCACCTACGGCCAACCTCGGGAATACTATTCATACTACCTACGGCCAACCTCGGGTATACTATTCATACCACCTGCGGCCACCCTCGGGTACTATTCATACCACCTACGGCCAACCTCGGGGATACTATTCATACTACCTGCGGCCAACCTCGGGTATACTATTCATACCACCTACGGCCAACCTCGGGTACTATTCATACCACCTACGCTTAACCTCGGGTACTAGTCATACCACCTACGGCCAACCTCGGGTACTATTCATACCACCTACGCTTAACCTCGGGTACTATTCATACCACCTACGGCCAACCTCGGGTACTGAACCCACACTTGATATCTGCGGCCTAAACACGTGCCAGGTGTATATAATTTTACAATTGTTAACCTTTATTTCTTTATAAGGCTAGTAACAGGATTTTCAATACAAGTTGTCTCTAATGATTAACTTCACCATACCTCGTTCAAAATACTGGATAGATGCGACCTGTTGACAAATAAACTATTTGCCCATCCCTTTCTATAACAGAGTCTATACATAGAAGAAATATGTTCGTAATCACGATCCTATTTCTTCGTATGGGAGTTAATGGTCTGAAATGATTAAATCCATGTCCACACCCTTTATGTTATGGTGATTGTACCAAATATAAACAATGATATATCTGTAACAGAGACTGAAACTGTCGTAATCAGTGGAAATAAAAATAAAATAAAACCCAGAAATAACTTGTAACGTATAGCTTCTACGTTGACAGAACGTCTACACTGCTGTGTAACGCAAACACTAGTCGAGTGAACGACACCTTTCACACTGATTAGAAAACAATCACACATTTTAATACTATCGATTCATTCTTTTAACTTGTGTACGTAATTTGTGTAGTCATATATTGCCCCCACTTATCTTTGAATTCTTCAGCCTTTTTTCACATGTGGATTTCAGTTGGTATGACTGTAAAATATGACTTTATAAAAACGTAAACCCGTACAAGAATGATGAATGAAATATTATTATGAAAAGCTTGTGAACGAAAACCACGAAAACCTACAATTTACATTACTCTTTTGGTCTACTTTACATGAAGAGTATGACAGCAAATTAAGCGAAGGTCATGACCCAACATCAAATTCTGTATGACAAACATGACGATCTCACGATCGCTAATTTTCCTTTTCTCGGTAGTAACATAACTTCCTCCCTATTTATGGGGATTATCGTCGCAGTTAATTAAATACTCTCGAACCTTATCTAATTATTCGTATTTTATCAGTAATATACTCAGAGGGTATTTATTAAAGAGAGGTGTCGAAGGCTACATTTCATTTTCTCTTACCCTGGACAGATTTATTCTTACTTTTACCGGTGTGAGATTTCCTTGTCTCACCCTAGGGTTGAAACAAGCTACACGTGCTCTTTGCACGTTTTCCACAATAAACCTGACGTCACTGATGTGACCCGGAAGAAGAACTACTTTTATGTGATCACACACATACACAAGTTCGTCTGCTAATCTTGTCGTGTTTACATTTGACATCAAAGAAGATTGGATTGATTTTAAAATGTTTAAAATATGATGCGTGAACCGTCTGACGCATACATATAATATTAATACTATCCACGTGTTCCTGTTTACAAACAATATGCTTCGTCTTACACTCGAACAGGAACAACAGGGTAAGAGAAAAATAATCATTCACCCTCTCGGGGATGAGATAGGGGGATCTCAACCCTCGGGGGAAAGATTCGTAAGTTGCCAAACACTCGGCAAAGCCTCGTGTTTGGCAAATTAAAAATCTTCCCCCCTCGGGTTGAGATCACCCTATCTCACCCCCAAGGGGATGAAAGATTTTATTAATCTTCATCAAGCCCCAATTACCAGCTATTATATCTCAGTGTTTTCTATTATCAAAACTATATTAACCGCTCCTTATATCTTTGGTCAATGAACAACACACTTTCTTGGGTTTGAATGTACAGTATCTCAGTCAGACATAACAATTTCTACAGAATGTACTAGAATTCCTAGCTCTTCGGACATTGTACACACTTGGAACAATTGTAAAACGGCTAGTTACTTGACGGCTTAACTCGAAATCGATAAATTACACTTATACCATTTCACATTTATATAAATAAATACTAGTGACATATTAATGATTAAAATATGAACTATCCGGGTAAGGCATATTTTATTTCCAATTTGGTTAATATCGTAAGAGCAACAGCCTAATACTTGCTAACCTCACCAATAATTATCGACCTACCTATGATGATATAAAGTGCGAATTCGTACGTTGATATGAACCCATCGGTGTTTACACAATACTGTGACACGCCTTGTATCTCGACAAAAATAACAAAATGTCATATAAATAGGCGTTATTGTATGCGTCAACATTTGTTAAACTCGCGTAAATTAAATGACCAAATAACACAATTTTTTGCCATATACACGTGCGGTACTTCTTTGATTCCAATATAACATGCCAAGCTGTTCCGTATTCTATTATCCCCAATTGCAAACACAAATTTAGTACAATCGTACCCGAATTTCCAATACTGTGTAGAGTATGAAACAAAAATATTCGAGAAAAAGAAAGTACCACACTTGAATTTAAAATTTTCAGAAATATAAACGGTAAAAAAGACATAATTTACAATAATTAAAATTAGAAAAAGGAAGGAAGGAACAATGTTAACGTTCAACCAGGGTGGTAAGTCGTCAATGTCAAAAAATAGCACGGGGATTTCCATCCGATAATTCTTAAAGAACCGGTAATTGTACATTTTTGCAATGTCAACAAAGAGCATCATGTCATTGGGAATTCGTTCTAAGCATGTACATCGTTATCAAATAATTCGTTCTAAGCATGTACATCGTTATCAAAAAATTCGTTCTAAGCATGTACACCGTTATCAAAGAATTCGTTCTAAGCATGTACATCGTTATCAAAGAATTCGTTCTAAACATGTACACTGTTATCAAAGAATTCGTTCTAATCATGTACATCGTTATCAAAGAATTCGTTCTAAGCATGTACACCGTTATCAAAGAATTCGTTCTAAGCACGAACATCGTTATCAAAGAATTCGTTCTAAGCATGAACACTGTTATCAAAGAATTCGTTCTAAGCACGAACACTGTTATCAAAGAATTCGTTCTAAGCATGTACATCGTTATCAAAGAATTCATTCTAAGCACGAACACTGTTATCAAAGAGCAATTCGTAATCGTACATTCAGTCATCCTCGATGTCCAAGGGTTACGCTATCTGCCATAGCAAAATTGAAGGCATGCGGCTAGCTACTTGATTGGGGAGCGACGCCCGTAAGTTTTACCGTTACACGGCCGCAAGATTCTTTTGATGTACATCAAAGAACCCAACTCGTCTTGTTCTCAAGGTGCTGCACTTTGAGCATTCGATTTTGCTATGACATATTCCAGAGGTGCAGAGAGCGAAAGTGAGCGTAACCCCTGGATCATCCTCAATATCCAGGGGTTACTCTCACTTTCGCTCTCTGCACCCCTGGAATATGTCATGGCAAAATTGAAGGCACAAAGATAGCTGTTTGATTGGTCTCGGAAAAAAACCAAGAGGCTCAGAGGGCCTGTATGCTTACTTGGATATCTAAGCAATCATGGCAAAATATTCTTCAAAAGAGATCCAAGGGAATATGCCAGATCCCAAGGCCAATCCTTGTTGATATCTGTATTAGATTGTTCATGCCAAGCAATTTTATGTATGGTTATGGGGTGGGGATCTCAACTGTTTCCAAGCTGTGACTCTGAAACAAGGTCCATAGGGTTGTGGCCAGACCCCAGGACCAATTCTAATATCATGACTGCATTCTTCTCTTTTTGCCAAGTATTTGTATTTATAGTTTTGGGTTGGGGATCCCAACCGTTTACAAGTTATGATCCAGGAGTGAGTCTGCAAAGGTTGGGCAGCCCATAGGATAAATTCTAATATCATGACTACATTCGTCTCTTTATGCCCAGCATTTGTATTTATAGTTTTGGGGTGGGGATCTCAACCATTTTGAAGTTATGTCCCAGGGGTTAAGTCTCCAAGGGTGGGGCAGACCCCAAGGCCATCCTGGAGGCATGTGTGCATTCATATGGTTATAGGGTAGTGATCTCAACTGTTTCCAAGCTGTGACTAAGAAACTAGGTCCCTAGGGGTTCGGTCAGACCCCTAGGTCTATTCTAATATCAAAACTGCATTCGCCTCTTTATGCCCAGGTTTGTATATTATTAAGTTTTGGGGTGGGGATCTTAACCGTTTCAAAGTTATGACCCAGGGACTATGTCTCCAAGGGTGGGGCAAGACCCTAGAGCCATCCTGGAAGCAAATGTGCATTCTTCTCTTTATACTCAGCAATTGTATAAATGGTTATACGGTGGGGATCTCGACCATTTCAAACTAATAAACTATTTTTAGCTCCACCCCCTTAGCCCGAGGGGGTCAGTCCCACCATTTGTACAATTTTGAATCCTTGCCTTCCATGAATGCTGAATGCTTCCTACCAAATATGATCGATATCCATGCCACAGCTCTACAGAAGAAGTCGTTTATAGGAATATAGCCAAATTGCCCCCTTTTACCCCCGTCCCTCAGCCCCACCATTTGTACAATTTTGAATCCCCAGCACCTAGGGATGCTACGGACGATGGACGGACGACGGACGCCACCGTATTGAATAAGCTCACCTTAAAACTGACTAATCGCTAGTCTGATACCTGTCCTTTGAAGATTACAAAGGAGAGACGCCCAACTTTAAAGCCTGTCAATTTTTACTGTTACATGACCACGAGATTCTTTTGATGTACATCAAAGGATCGCCTAGTCTTCTCGTCTCATCTTTAAGGTGCTGCACACTGAGCCTTCAATTTTGCTATGACATATTCCAGAGTTGCAGAGAGCGAAAGCGAGCCTGACCCCTGGATATGGAGAGGCCCCTGGATATTGAGGATTATATTCAGCATAATAAATACATTGCAATACAGGACAAATCAAACTACATCTCTGAATCAGTGTACACTGTCATCAAAGAAGGTTCAAAATGAGGACTGAAGTAGTCCGTTGTGTTAGTAATAAATAGGACATATATATCACGTACATGTTTTCACNCCTATTAAAAGATTTAAACATATGACGCCTGTGACCTTGAATGTCGAACAAGGACATTAGGTTGAACAGAGTTTAAAGTCTTCCAACCCAGCATGCTTTTGGCAAAATATCATAACCCTGGACCTATTGGTTATACAGAACAAGTCGTTTAAAGATTTAAACATATATTGACCACTGTGACCTTGAATATGGGCGAAGGTCATTCATTTTGACAAAATTGGTAGCCCTTCATCCCAGCCTGTTAATGATCAAATATCATCACCCTTGGCCTTTGGCTAATTTAGAAGAAGTCGTTTAAAGGTTTTAAACATATTTGACCCCTGTGACCTTGAATATATGTAAAGGTCATTCATTTGAACAAACTTGATAGCCCTTTATCCCAGCATGCTACTGGCCAAATATCATTATCCTAGGCATCTTGGTTATTCAGAAGAAGTTGTATAAAAGTTTTAAACATATTTGACCCCAGTGACCTTGAATATAAGTAAAGATCATTCATTTGAATAAACTTGGTTGCCCTTTATCCAAGCATGCTACTAGCCAAATATCATCAGCCTAAGACTTTCGGTTATTGAGAAGAAGTTGTTTAAAGGTTTTAAACATATTTGACCCCTGTGACATTGAAAATAAGTAAAGGTCATTCATTTGAACAAACTTGGTAGCCCTTCATCATGGCATGTTACTGGCCAAATATCATTATCCTAGGCTTCTAAGTTATTCAAAAGAAGTTGTTTAAAGGTTTTTAACATATTTGACCCCTGTGACCGTGAATATAAGTCAAGGTCATTCATTTGAACAAACTATGTAGCCCTTCATCCCAGCATACTACTGGCCAAATACCTTAATCCTAGGCCTCTTAGTTATCCTGAAGAAGTTGTTTAAAGATTTTTTAAGACATTTGACCCCTGTGACTTTGAAAATGGACGAAGGTCATTCATTTGAACAAACTTGGTAGCCCTTCATCCCAGCATGCTACTAGCCGAAAATCATCACTCTGGGCATTTTGGTTATTCAGAAGTTGTTTAAAGTTTTTAACATATTTGACCCCTGTGACCTTGAAATTAGGTGAAGGTAATTTATTTGAACAAACTTGGAAGCCCTTCATCCTAGTTTGCTTCTGGCCAAATATCATCACCCTAGGCCTTTTGGTTATTAAGAAGAAGTTGTTTAAAGTAAAATATTGACGCCGGACGACAGACGCCGGACGGACGGACGATGGACGCTGCACCATGGTATAAGTTCACTTTGCCCTTCGGGCCAGGTGAGCTAAAAGTAGAATTATGATGTGTCACCAAACAACTCACCGTCCCGTTTCTGAAGCTTTTTTTGATGTGTTTTTTTTTCAGATTGTCTACGTTACTGTTTTGAAAATAATAAAACAAGTGTAGCCTTAAACTTCGGTCAATACCTGGATTTATCGACCCGAGAAAAGAAATATCGACCTCAGACTGCTTCCTCGGTTAATATAATTTTTCTCAGGTTGATAAATCAAGTATCAGCCTCAGCCAAAGGCTATAATTGAATAATGTAGAGGTGATTCCACGAACAACCGCATATAAATACTAGTAGAATATCATATCAATATTCACAAATAAGTAAAGAAATATCTTTGTATCACGATATTAGTTTCCTGATTTGTACACAAAAAATATAACTCAATAACTAAGTATATATACATGAAGTAGGTGTTTATGTTTTATTCAAGTAGTCTTATGTTATGCAGTTGAGAAGTTGTATGGTATACATATAAATACGAACAATGTTAACGAGTACACTCCTCTATGGAGAACGCATTAAGTCAACAAGGAACTAATACCAGTTCATTAAGGCAGCACGTAATACCTGAATTTTCAATAGTACGTATTAAACGTAAAGATGATGAATGCGTAACAAAATAAAAAAGACTTGAACAACTACATATAAACAATGTATATTTTCTATGAAATGAATTACAGAATAAAAAGTCCTGTGGAAGTATTGACTACTCACGTACGATTTCTATGAAATATATGACGTAAATGGAGATATTTTGGATGTGGTTATATTCTGGTATATTCCGCACTACAAAGATCATGAAATTCTATTCACGTTATGTATATCAAAATGACTCATTACACATGTCACCACTTGTAAAAGTGCCGCCGGCGACATACAAGCCTACTAAACATAGCCTGATAAAACTGGAAAGTAGAGAAGTCTCTTGGATTGATAAATACTATAGCACCAAATAGGAACAAATCGAAATGGAAAACAATAAAGACATGGTTTAACGAACCATTTCTGACAGGAGACGTCAAAATTGTAACACCATGCCAAAATATCCCGATAGACGCTAACATAGACAAAATACGTACTTTTGCTATGAAACACAATGATTAGAATATATATAATAATAATAATAAATATTTTATTAGCGTGTCACACATTTTAAAATACATACATAATAGTGTTAACTAAAATAATGCATCATTTATAAAATGCCCAGCCAGTATTGGCTTACGAGACACAGAACATTGTAAGAGTGATCAATCATGGTTAAAAGAACAACGCTTTCTCATGTATTAATCTAGCTATAAAACACTGCAGAGATGCCTCATTCATTAAAAAGATAAACTTATCTTTCAAACTCATATCTAAAAAAAATAATGACATAATTACCCTTTATAAAAAGGGGTTCCCTGATTTCATTATAATAATCACAATGAAACACCACAGGAAGGAACAATCTTGCACTTGTATATTTTGTAGAAATGTTGACGACGGACCTCTTTTATAAAATACATAACAGATTATGCAAGAACATGTTGTACAAATTGTGGTGTCATAAAACATCAACCAGAATACAAAGTCTTGCACAAACCTACTTTGATAATAGCATTAAGGTAAAGGGGACCAATAATTAAGTTAAACTGTATTATTACTATTGTCGCCACTGTGAAATGTAAGTCCCTTTCAATAAGAAATATTTCATAAAAGTCACACATTGCAATGAATTATACCAATTGCAGTTGTTCAAAATTTGAATGTTTGAAATATAAATATAAAAGAAAACAAAAAAACTGTAGGGGGTCTAACACGGGTAGGTCATATTGCAAAGTCTACACTTGACAATGTTGTCGTACGAACATTATAAAAGCACAACACCAAAACGAATGTCCAATTTATGGGCGCAAAGCATATGAAAAATATGACAGGGGAAATTACTTTAAACCAGAATAAATCATTTTGGTTGCGTTGTACCCTATTTAGAAGGGATGATACTCCAAGTAGTATAAAAAAAAACCTCTAAACGGAACTCTTCTTCTTTTAACTGATGCAAAGATAACACTTACCTTAAGGTACGTTGTCTGTGAACAATTTTCAAAACGGAAAAAAGTCCGTTCCCTACCCATGTTCTATAGCACGTACGAGTTTGGCTTCAATAAGACTACTTAGGTAAGATACACAACAACCAGCATTATCACATCGCCACACTATTTGTCTAACATGTTGTTCCACGCTGATTTACATTTCAGCGTTTTAGCACATTTACAACAATCTGAAAATATATAATATAACTTTTTTGTGATCATGGCATCATAGCAAGGGTAACATAGAAGTTGAGCATGACTCTGTATGCTAATTCCAGTTAAAACAAACATTTATTACACAATCTGAAAAAAGACAGTTCCACATAAAGGATTTGCGTAGATAACAAAAGGATAAAAGGAGACAGAGTATTGTTTAACGACAAAATAAAAATGTAAGTAGGATTATGTAAATATATATATACACCATTATACAAAACATCCAAAGATATATCTTCTTTGTATTTTACACAACAATAACATTTCTGTACAAGGGACACAATAATTCTTAGAACGGGGAACTCAATGAATACTGAAGTATAGCACGCGTTAAACGCAATTATATTTAAAGCCTATCTACAAATACGGACAAAAATATATAACGTATAACTATGTAAATAGAAAAAAGCTGTAACGCAAGACATTTCTATATACGATACCATATTTTCAATTTGACACTTTGATATACTAGTTCATAAATCTGCACCAATTCTCTGGATCTCTTGCCATCTTCCTTATTTGATATTTGTTAATTATGACAGTCAACATTTCTTCATGCTTGACATTTTACATCATCATCTTAACTGCCTGTAATGAGCTAACACGACAAACTTGTTTCCTGTGGTAAGGTGCCTATAACATCCTCTACAAATGTTTACAGGTTTTGCTTACAGCAGATAACTTTAACTTGTATTTCATGTAACTCATGTCAGAAAAAAAATCATTTACAAAGTTACAGCCAACCTTGGATGATCTAGTCTTGAAGCAGTCACTAAAAACTACAATATAATGAGCAGCTATTTAACAGTTAGTAAGTCGACACAGAGGACCCTAGTAAACAATCGTCAATATAGAACTCAGTTGTGGTATTCAGGACAAGCAAAATGAAAACCGAAACCAAAAAGTGTTTCAAATCATAAATACAAAAACAGAAAAAAGGAAAAGGCGTCAGTAAAGCTATTGATTGTAAACTTTTGGCCAATAAACGTTTTCTATAAGCATAATATATTGATTTGGAGAGCTAGCCATATAGTTTAAACGATTGCGCCTTGTCGTCCATAATATAGATCGGCTATTAAACAGGTAACGATAAGGGGGAGGATATTACAACAGCCACTCTCCTAATCGCTATTGAATCACACATGTATGCAATTTAAGTGTAGCAGTATGTAACATTTCTTATTTCAAATACGGAAAAAATGGTAAGAAAGAAGAGGCCTTTCATTCAGGGAATATATCCTTCAGGGGATATGAATTTTATGGTAATTTTCTTGCATACATGCCAGATCGTTGGGACTCCCCAAAATATCACACATCACTAGTATTCTGATGATGACATGGGCAATCGAGAATAGTATAACATTCCTTCATTTTTTCTTTGATAACTTTTGATTTTTTTCTACATTTTAATGATATGTACAGGAAAGTCCTATGAATAGGATTTTCTGCAGTGAAGATGAGTGGAAACAGCTGTTATTACAACAGGCAATACCCATTATCCGTATCATTTACATATTACTTGTCGGACTACAAATAGAACAGTGCCACATTTTGTATTGGTCCACAATTTCATTTGGTCTATTGCTCCCTACTTTATAAGACAGGTATAAGATTCTATTGATCATTTAATGCATGTACAGGGGTTAGCACCACTTTTTTTTCATGTTACATTTACTATTCCTTGGCAGAGCTTACACTGTTCCACTTTTACTTGTCTGGCTGTGCAGTGCTCCAATTTATAACTAGGTTGAGCTTTCAGTGTTCCTCTAACTGAATGTACTATAGGATAACCTGACTAGTTGTACACTTATCATTACTTTGCTGAGCTAACACTGTTCCACTCAAAATTACATGTACATGTACTTGTCCAAATTCCCACTGTTCCTCTATTACATGACTGGGTGTACACTGTCCCATTTACTATTACATGCCCATGGCTCAGTGTACACTATTCCTTTATTACTTGACCAAACGTACACTGTTCCATAAACTATAACATGATCAGGTTTACTCATAACATCACCTGTAACTTGATCAGCTGGTATTGGTTATATTGCCTTTGGAAACAACATTATCACTAAACAACTACATATTAAATAACTCTGATCACTAATTAGATATTCTTAACTACTTGAATAATATGATCAACGTATTCAAAACAAACATTCACTGTCCTGCAAACGTGTACAAATAAAACGTTTTGATTATATTAAATGATATTTGATTGGATTAAATACTGCTTCATGATTTTAAGTCTGTTTTGGGGTCATTCTTACCTTCGATTTCTCTACACCACATTGTGTCTTGTGCTAGTGTCTTTTTAACATACGTGGTCGGAGTGTTACAACTCTATTCATATACACTACTGGAGTTGGGATCACCATTCCTTTCAATATCACTTACTGTGTAAGGGTCAGTGCAGTTCCCTTCACTAAACATGTAAATGCTTATATGTACCAATGCCTCTTATTGTACAGGCCAATTCAGTCTCACATGAACAATCTCATGTCAGGTTATTGACACACTTGTAACCCAGTTCATTAATTGAGGATTGTTTGAAATGTATTCGATTTTGACATCTATAACTATAAACATACTGAGGTTGTGGTCACCATTCTGTTTATTACTCCATCATAGGATAGGGTTTGAATCACAGTTCCCTTTATTTCATCATATTTGGGTCATAGTCACTGTTCCCATCACTATAACATATTGGGGTTTGAGTCACTGTTTCCATCACTATAAACATACTGAGGTTAGAGTCACTGTTTCCATCACTATAACATATTAGGGTTGGAGTGACTGTTTCCTTTACTATAACATATTAGGGTTGGAGTCACTGTTCCCATCACTATAACATATTAGGGTTGGAGTCACTGTTCCCATCACTATAACATATTAGGGTTGGAGTCACTGTTCCCATCACTATAACATATTAGGGTTGGAGTCACTGTTCCCATCACTATAACATATTAGGGTTGGAGTCACTGTTCCCATCACTATAACATATTAGGGTTGGAGTCACTGTTCCCATCACTATAACATATTAGGGTTGGAGTCACTGTTCCCATCACTATAACATATTAGGGTTGGAGTCACTGTTCCCATCACTATAACATATTAGGGTTGGAGTCACTGTTCCCATCACTATAACATATTAGGGTTGGAGTCACTGTTCCCATCACTATAACATATTAGGGTTGGAGTCACTGTTCCCATCACTATAACATATTAGGGTTGGAGTCACTGTTCCCATCACTATAACATATTAGGGTTGGAGTCACTGTTCCCATCACTATAACATATTAGGGTTGGAGTCACTGTTCCCATCACTATAACATATTAGGGTTGGAGTCACTGTTCCCATCACTATAACATATTAGGGTTGGAGTCACTGTTCCCATCACTATAACATATTAGGGTTGGAGTCACTGTTCCCATCACTATAACATATTAGGGTTGGAGTCACTGTTCCCATCACTATAACATATTAGGGTTGGAGTCACTGTTCCCATCACTATAACATATTAGGGTTGGAGTCACTGTTCCCATCACTATAACATATTAGGGTTGGAGTCACTGTTCCCATCACTATAACATATTAGGGTTGGAGTCACTGTTCCCATCACTATAACATATTAGGGTTGGAGTCACTGTTCCCATCACTATAACATATTAGGGTTGGAGTCACTGTTTCCATCACTATAACATATTAGGGTTGGAGTCACTGTTTCCATCACTATAACATATTAGGGTTGGAGTCACTGTTTCCATCACTATAACATATTAGGGTTGGAGTCACTGTTCCCATCACTATAACATATTAGGGTTGGAGTCACTGTTCCTATCACTAAAACATATTAGGGTTGGAATCACTGTTCCCATCACTATAACATATTAGGGTTGGAGTCACTGTTCCCATCACTATAACATATTAGGGTTGGAGTCACTAGTCCCTTTACTATTACATACTTGGGTTGAGATGATCACTTCCTTCAATAATTTACTTGGTTAGGGATATAACTGTTCCTTCCACTTACATGTACAGGTCAATATAGCCATGCCTTTTAATGTACACGTCAACTTATTCTCCTAAACTTCACAGGTTTTGGTAGGAAAAAATAAACCTCTCTTTACATCACACAGTAGTGTGAGATTCTATTAGTCTCACATGAGCAGGCAACCATAGGAGACCTTATTGACACTCTTGTAACATACTACATTAGTTGAAGATTAATTCAAATTAATCTGATTTTGCCATTTGAGTATATTAACTTTACAAACATAATGCAAAACAACAAATAAAACAATATATATATATATATATAAAATACATTTGGAGTACATGTACACTGTTCATGAATGATATGGAAACAAACAATATCTCTGTCCATTATCCTCCTCCGAGTGAGAATTAGCCCATTATCCTCCTCCGAGTGAGAATTAGTCCATTATCCTCCTCCGAGTGAGAATTAGCCCATTATCCTCCTCCGAGTGAGAATTAGCCCATTATCCTCCTCCGAGTGAGAATTAGTCCATTATCCTCCTCCGAGTGAGAATTAGCCCATTATCTTCCTCCTAGTGAGAATTAGTCCATTATCCTCCTCCGAGTGAGAATTAGTCCATTATCCTCCTCCTTAGTGAGAATTAGTCCATTATCCTACTCCTAGTGAGAATTAGTCCATTATCCTACTCCGAGTGAGAATTAGTCCATTATCCTCCTCCGAGTGAGAATTAGCCCATTATCCTCCTCCTAGTGAGAATTAGTCCATTATCCTCCTCCGAGTGAGAATTAGTCCATTATCCTCCTCCGAGTGAGAATTAGTCCATTATCCTCCTCCGAGTGAGAATTAGCCCATTATCCTCCTCCGAGTGAGAATTAGCCCATTATCCTCCTCCGAGTGAGAATTAGTCCATTATCCTCCTCCTTAGTGAGAATTAGTCCATTATCCTACTCCTAGTGAGAATTAGTCCATTATCCTCCTCCGAGTGAGAATTAGTCCATTATCCTCCTCCTTAGTGAGAATTAGTCCATTATCCTACTCCTAGTGAGAATTAGTCCATTATCCTACTCCGAGTGAGAATTAGTCCATTATCCTCCTCCGAGTGAGAATTAGCCCATTATCCTCCTCCTTAGTGAGAATTAGTCCATTATCCTCCTCCGAGTGAGAATTAGTCCATTATCCTCCTCCTTAGTGAGAATTAGTCCATTATCCTACTCCTAGTGAGAATTAGTCCATTATCCTCCTCCGAGTGAGAATTAGTCCATTATCCTCCTCCGAGTGAGAATTAGCCCATTATCCTCCTCCGAGTGAGAATGAGTCCATTATCCTCCTCCGAGTGAGAATTAGTCCATTATCCTCCTCCGAGTGAGAATTAGCCCATTATCCTACTCCGAGTGAGAATTAGTCCATTATCCTACTCCGAGTGAGAATTAGCCCATTATCCTCCTCCGAGTGAGAATTAGCCCATTATCCTCCTCTGAGTGAGCATTAGTTCAGTCTCTTTTCCATCTTCAGAAAACACTTCAATATACAAAGGATATTGCATTATATACAACGTCACACAGACGCAGGAGAAACAAGTAACCTCTTATCAATCTGTTTATTTCTTATTTGTTCACCTGAGAAATATAAGCCACCACTTTTTGAGTACACTGTAGCTGTATTCCATAAAATTACTGAGTAATTGATATATAATCTCCCTCCAGTAATCAAATATTGCATTTAAAATGTTATTATTGAACACTTATGTATCATTTAAAGGATTTTTAAATCCTCAGCCATTTAACCAAAATTTACCTATTATACTGACAGCACTTTAGGGAAAGCTTCCATATTTATATATTGGAACACGGATCTTGTATCAGGGATGTACTGTATTCCTCACCTTGATCTTAATGCCCAGCAATAGTATATATATGGCTATGGGTTGGGGATCTCAACCATTTCAAAGTTATGACCTGAGAATTAGTCCCTATGGGTGGGGCCAGACAGAAGGATCAATCCTAATATCATAATTGTGTCTGTGTCTTGATGTCCAGCAATGGTATATGAGGTTATGGGGTGGGGATCTTGAACATTTTCAAAGTTATGACCTATGAATTAGTCCCTATGGATGGGCCATACAGAAGGATCAATCCTAATATCATAATTGTGTTTGTGTCTTGATGCTCAGCAATAATATATATGGTTATGGTGTGGGGATCTTGAACAGTTTCAAATTTATGATGCAATAATTAAGTCCCTCAGGATAGGCCCAGACCTCGGGATCAATCCTAATATCATAATTGTGTACCTGTCATGATGTCCAGCAATGGTATGTATATGTAACCCAGTGTACTTTGTACATATAATATGGGGCAAAAAAGTAATTCCAACTGTGTGGACAAGTTTAGGTTGTCAAATTTAATATAATATATATACATGTATATGCACGTAGCCTATCTATGTACTGTGTTGTACAGTCAAGTGACCTTGACATTGTCCTGTGTTGTTATGTTATGTAAATGTCTGACACTGACCTGGACTTTGGACAGTACCCAATGTGACAAATTACATAAATAGCTTGAATAACCAGAACACATATTGCATGCTTCAATTTACCGCCTGTTCTTCCTTACTAACTTCCTGTGCATCTGACCACCCCAATATGTGAGTCAGTATATATGTGTCTGACTCGCGAGGGCGACACATACCCTTAGTTATTCCTCTACATGAGAACACATCCTCACGGAGATCTTAGAATAATCAAAGGGAACACCGGATAGTCTGGTAAGCAGAGTGTGTGTGTGCGTTTGTTAAGTCATGTTCTACTTTCAGTTTTTATGTATATTGTCCTCGTTATAGTCCGTTTCATTGTTTAGGGTGTAAGAGTCTGTTTGTATGTTTACAGGTTTTTCTTGTACGGAAAATAAAGAACCAAAACACACAATGTCTTATCAATACTTGAGTGCGACCCTGTTTGACATATACATATTATTATCGGGTTGGGATCTCAACATTTATAAGTTGTGGCTCAGGAATCAAGACCCTAGTGGTGGGGCCAGACCCACAGGTCAATTCTTATATTATGATTTTGTTTGTTTCTTGATGCTTCAAAATTGTATGCAATAATGTAAATGGTCCCAAACACCTAAGGATGCTTCCAACCAAATATTGTTGATATCCTTCTCTAATTTCAGAAAAGAAGTCGCTTGAAGCAATATGGTCAAATTACCCCTTTTTCGGCCCCAACCCTTAGCCTCCTGGGGGGGTCAGGCCCTCCATTTATACAATTTTTAATCCCCACTACCAGATTTGCTATCAAATTTGGTAAAATTCCACATAGGGAATGAAGTATGCTGCAGTATGGCATAAAAAGTACTTTAAAATAGATGCACTATTATTGATGTATTGGACGCAATCAGATGGTTGCTTGGATAATGTTTTACTATGCAGTAAGTGAACACTATGATTGGACTATGATGATGAATTATTTAACCCTTTCACCAGTGTAGACCATAATGGACTCATCCAAATAAATGTATGGTAGAGTCTACTAAAGTTACCTAGGGGTGAAAGGGTTAATGAGTAATATATATTGGCTGTGAATAGCTGTGATTTAAATAGTTTTCTTCCAAAAAGCATTGTCTGTGCAAACCTCAGAAGATATCAGAGGTTTATCAATAATTTATATAGAATTACTGAACAGTTTGAGTAAAACTTTATCAGTTTATCCTGAAAATTACAGTAGATGTTTTTTTGTTTCAGAATTCATGTTTGAAAAAGAACATACCGGTATCAAGCTTTGCCCTTAAGATTTAACCTACCAGAATCTTGTTGTAGGCACTCCACATTTATCAATACAAAGTGTATATTTGAATAGTTTTTGTGAACAACTTTATTTGATAAAACATTAAACTGTCTCATAAATCTGCCTTTATTGTGTATCTTATAAAAAACTGCTGAATGTGTCTACCTGGTAGGCACTTAGTTTTAGTTTAAAGCAATTTTATTGTAACAAAAGACAAATGGATTGGACAAAAGTTATTGCAATTACTTACGTTCTTTTCGTAACAAGTAAATATATATACAAAATCAATGTGTCACGCAATATCCTAAAAGTTTTTTTTTTTTTATATATAAGAACATTTTAAAGTTAAAGATGGGGTTACAGCAAAAGAGGTAAGGATAGGATTAGGGACACTAACGTATAATTTTTGTAATATATATTTGAAGGGTTTAATTGAGATCACTTGTGTGATTTTCCTAAGCGTGTCGACGTACACAATATACCTAGTCTTACACACATAGCCTTCTGCTTTTCTAAAGTTCAACTAAAGACACTAAGTGAATACATAGTTAAATGATTCAAACTTTTTCTCAGTATGAAACATGAATCATGCATGAAACTGCAAACAACAATCATATAAGGTATACTTACACATATGCCCAGCGTACACCAAAGCCAGCCACACTTCCAGGACCGGCTGGTGACAGTGTACCCTTGCCTCTCGTACAGTCGTATTGCCCAGTTGTTGACATCGACCAGCAGGGAAATTGTCTGTGGACAGAGTAACATATGGAGCAGAACACCAATTGATAAGATACATCATAATGTTATGGATTAATTCTGTTAACAGGATGTAAATTATCCTGATACATGTGTATGTATCCCATGAAACTGTTACATTGTGATGTAAACCACCAGATACCTGTTACCTACTGGCATAAACAATCAAGACATCCCATGATTCTGTTAACGTTATATATATTGTTGTAAACAGTGTTGACCTTCCCTGACTCTAGCTGTGACCTGAACTTATATAAACAGTCCAGATATCCCATGATCCTTGTAAATTATGCCTTGAGATATCTAGATATTGCCTTGTTTTGTTACAAATTGATGTAAAACAGTTAATACTCCTTACTCTATCATATAGTGATGTCCAGACATTCTCCCTGATTCTATTATCTACTTACATATATAGCATTGATAGCCTGTTATTCTGTAACTATTAGAAGTGTACTGTCCCGATTAATTAAAAGACTCAAAGATTTGTATTAAGACCTCTAAGTAAAGACCAATACGAGTTGATAGGTTTGAACAAATCCCTACCCGACAGCCATGGATGCGAGCCTCATGGTCCGCCCGGTCCAATAAAGCCTTCCCGATACCTTTCCCTCGGAACTCCTCCTCAACTGCCACCATATCCAAGTAACACTCATAATCCCTAAGATCCTCTACTGTCCGGAATCCGTAATCCAAACACTTAAGGCTGCATGATAAAAATAAGCTTTTTTAATATACCTAAATGTATGTGTATATGTAACATTCATTTGGGTTGCTTGATAAACATTATTTAATTAAAACTTCTAACAGCCTCTCAACCATGTAATCTACAGAAGAAAAAAAAAGATGACTGAGGCTAGTACACTTGGCCTCAAAGTTTGGTCAAACAGTCTTCAAAATGTTGACCATACTCGATTTTTGGGTCCTAGAAGAAAATGTTACATAATGAATAACCCTCTTCACCAGCAAGGTTTAAGACAAATATTGGACTCAGAACATGTACAGCTATCACAATTTGTGCCAGGTGTTCTACAAATATCAGGGTTGCTGTTGACATTGTCACTTAACTTGAAGAGTGATAGATTAGTACCGTGACTGCTTACATTACTTTGAAGCAATGACGCTGTTCTTTTGATCAGTTAAATTTGTAATACAAGTACAGAAACTGACATACCCGCAAACATCGCAACACCCAAAGGTATCTAAGGCTGCTGTGTTTTCCCTGTAAACAAACGGAAGATTTCAATTGCAACGGTTAGATATATTTATAACTTCATTTGAACAATGAGGTTCCTATAACTGTAAATAAATAACTTCACAATTCATACTTTTATGATGGTTTGGAGATACACTGCTGTCAGGATACATCATAATATTATGTAAAGAAACAGCATATTTGATTACATGCAATATAAAGCTTCTTACTTTCACTTCCCTTTCAGAGGTTGATGATATAGTCTAAATAAAAAAGTCTGTAGGACAAACTTGTTTGACAAATTGAAGAACTTTTTTATCACAATGCAAATAGCCTACAAAGGTTTTTGTTATGAAACCATCATAATACATTCTGGAAGTCTAAACATCGAAAACGACAATGAATTGTGTATCTATTGTATTATCTCTATTGCTACTATATAAATTTATCAATGGACATTTATATAAGAAGTATATACTACATAAATACAGTATTTGACAGACCTGTCTATAAGCAGATCTTCAAGGTGTATATGCACGTTGCATACAATGCAATGTATTTTATTTTATCACGCATCATTCTAGGACATGAAACAAACCTTGGTATGGGGTCGCCACGGAATATGAGATAGATAATACCGACCGGTTTGCCATCATACTCTGCAACAAAGTTTCTCTGGTAGTAGAGAGGATCTTGCCCACGCTGTTCCAGTGAAATTGTTCGGATAACGTCAGGTATACTGAAAGATAGATGTTGTTAGACATGGTAAAAAATATTTGATCAAGCAAATATATTCCAGTCTGATACAGATATATATTTTGACTACTGTTATTTTATGATATTTGGCAATTGAATTTTTAAAATCTAAAACGGTCACTACAAAAAAATATGACCATGTGTCGTAATGTATCAGAGTTTACCTGTTCCTTCACTATAATATATAAGGATTGACCTTCCTTTTGACTGTGTATACGGTAGTATGAATGCAGTGGGCAATGAACATATTTTATGCTGCACCTTAGTAAAAAGATGTTTAAATGTTACATAGGTAGAAAAACAGTTGAAATGGGTTGCTACGATGGTAAAGTTAGTAGCCATGGTTGCTAAGATAATATAGTTTCAGTGAATAAGCATTGATATATGAGTTAATTTAGAAAATACACAGCAAACAACATTATTTTTTTTCTTGTTTAATTGTTTTCTTGTTTTTTCATAACTTTTAAATTTCAAAATAAGCATTGTAAGTAGAACTTTAAACAACTTTATCACTATGATGGTCATTATGTATGCACATTAATACACAAGAATGAAGCTGTCATCATCTACCTCACTGTCAAAGAAATTTGTATATTTAGACATATGGATCTCGAAAATATGTTCCAATTATCTAGATGTTAGGGGAGCAAGCAATGACTTTTATCCGACTTTTATCTTGCTGAAGCATGAACGTCACAATATTTTAATAAGTATCAATCTGCAGAGCCTTTTTTAACTGCATTATATAATACACTAGTTAATATGCTGTCAAAGTTTAATTTATTGAGCTGAAGAATGGAAAGATGTAAACCTTCCTTCATTTATTATGTTATTATGTGTCTCCCTTCACTAGTTGTGTTATTACAAACCCTCCTTCATTACTTGTGTTATTACAAACTTCCCTTCACTAGTTGTGTTATTACAAACCCTCCTTCGTTACTTGTGTAATTACAAACTTCCCTTCACTAGTTGTGTTATTACAAACCCCCTTCATTACTTGTGTAATTACAACCCCCCCCCTTCATTACCTGTTTAAATACAAACCTCCCTTCATTACTTGTGTAATTACAAACCTCCCTTCATTACTTTTGTTATTACAAACCCCCCTTCATTACTTTTGTTATTACAAACCCCCCTTCACTACTTTTGTTATTACAAACCCCCCTTCACTACTTTTGTTATTACAACCCCCCCTTCACTACTTTTGTTATTACAACCCCCCCTTCACTACTTTTGTTATTACAACCCCCCCTTCACTACTTTTGTTATTACAACCCCCCCTTCACTACTTTTGTTATTACAAACCCCCCTTCACTACTTTTGTTATTACAAACCCCCTTCTTTACTTGTGTTATTACAACCCCCCTCTTTACTTGTTTAGTTACAAACCTCCCTTCACTAGTTGTGTTCTTACAACCCCCC